AATTTTGTGCAAATCGAAAGATACATAGTTAATTTGGTGCACCATTTTCTTAAATCGGACAAAAATATATATGGGAGCTATATCTAAATATGAACCGATTTTTACGAAACTTAGCACACATCATTCTAGACTTAAGTCAGTACGCTGTTCCAACTTTTGTGCAAATCGAAAGATATATAAGGACTTTGGTGCACCATTTACCTTAAATCGGACGAAAATATATATGGGAGCTATATCTAAATCTGAACCGAATTTTCAATTTCAATAGGGTTTATCCTTGGGCCAAATAAATGAGCTGTGCCAAATTTCATCCAATTCGAATCATAAATGGGACATGTACTTTGTTTACAATTTAAGGACAATGTATAGACGGACATGCATAAATCGACTTACAAAGTGATTCTATGCATATTCACAAAGACAATACCGAAGTGTATAATATATATACATAATCTAAGACCATGATGAATCAAAAGATGTCCAAATCACACGAGTGGTTTGTAAATTACAGCGACAACAAAACAAGATATTGAAGAAAATTATTTGTTTTTGGTTCGAAAAAATAATGTCATCATATACATACATATATATTTTTTTAAATTTTATACCATGGTACAATTATAAAAGGCAACAGCAAATCCCAGCTGATTTGATTCCACCGTAATACTAGTGTCAATATGAATTTGACAAATTATGTTTTTAAAAATCACCCAACAGGAAAATTGGGAACGCATACAATTTGAAATTGTTCTTTATTAATGTGCTCCCGTATTCAATTTACTCAATCTGCCTGCTGGGAAAGTTTGAGGAAGCAAATCTTTCTTGAAGGAATAACTCGCTATTCCCAGAATTTTCATATGTGTTACACATATACATATATGGCAATGGCTCAATTAAAGGAAAGATGTGGAAGCATTAGAAATATAAATTAGATAGATTTTCATTCATGTTTTCCAATTTTTATTTTGACGATTCGAAAATATTTCATTTTCAAAATAAAAATAAGTTGATGATAATTTGTTTGTTTACAGTTTTCTGTCAAATGAGTTGACACTAGTAGAACTTTCAACAACAAATTTCCATGTGGTTGTTGTATCGTTTTCTGTACAACAGCACTTGCTGTTACCTTTTATTATTATACCATGATTTTATACAAAAAAATTCAGAAAAAATGTTAGGGTATATAAAAATAATCACTTCTTGTGTATAAGTATACACTTCCGATAAATCTTTGGGTTTATAAATAGAAATTTTGCGAAATTTAATTTGACGCCTAAGATGTACTAGATGTTGCACTGAAGCACCCAAAACTCGTAAAACGCGAATAATTTCCGAAAAGTCCATATGCGTTTACTGCGCATACGATTTCGGTGTGCACCCTAAAAAATATATCGATGTATACCTATTTCAATGCGTTCCATTAAGAACCATGGATGACCCAGCTCACACCATTTTTGAGATAAACTGGGTACATCTCTCTTTCTGCTGAGGTTTTTAAAGTTCTGTTTTCGCTAAAGTTCAAAATCCATATAAAGTCATTTATTGAAATGGAAATGCAATTAAATCCGCGATATTCAAAAACATTTATTGCCAAATTTCGCGGAAACTGGATTTCCGCCGTTCTTGTACATGGATTTTTAACGAATAAGATTTTATTTCATCCATATTATTCAATTGACAGATCTAAAAATGTGGCCCCAAAAAAATGTTTTTTTTTTAGAAATTTGATCGCACAATATGTTCACCTTTGGATGAGTTTTACTCTGAAGCTGTGCATACTACATACACAAAATATATATCAAATTACTCAGATTTGCGACTACAATAATCTTATAATCGATTTTTAGAAATTCCTGTTTACGTTTATTAAAGCTAGAAGTAAAATTCAAAAAAAAAAAAAAAAAAAAACACTCAAAATTGAGCTTCAAATTGTCAGCATCATTTAAAGTTAGATACAGTGACAGTTTTGAAAAATGATACATAAGAGACGTAAGCCCCATTTTGATGGTTTTACTTTGATACGAAGACTATGAAATGAGTGGCTTAGTCGCAAATCTTTGAAAAGGTTTCATACTAGCAGTTTTAAGTCTTTTTAATAGCTTTAATAGCTGCGAATTTTCTAAATGGGTTAAAAAATCTTTAATTGCAGAAAAATATCTGTTATGGTGGGCTTTACTTTACTTAGCTGGCTTGTTACAGAACGGTTGTTCCATAAGCCGAGCTTAAAAAAGATTTCCACCAATTTGGAAGACCACGTTCCAAGATGTTGTTTTCTACTTGGTCTTTACATCTAATTCGTGACCTTCCCCTTCTACGGGAACCATCAGTAGGCTCATTTTTATATGCCTTTTGAGCTGGGGCATTTTCATTCATCCGCACAACATGACCTAGCCACCGTAGCCGCTGCAGCTCAATACGACTGACTATGTCGATGTCCACGTATAAATTGTAAAGCTCGTGGTTCAATCGACGCCGATATTCACCGTCGACGCAGATCGGCCCGTAGATCTTTCGGAGAATTTTTCTCTCAAACAGCCCAAGAGCTGCCTCATGTGCTTGCGCAAGTACCCATGCTTCTGATATAATATATAAGGTATATAATGTTTTAACTACTTCGAAGCTGTAGTTCTCAAGTTCCACAGTTGGTCCGAGTCTACTGGACGTCTTACGCGTTGATACCATCAGCTTGGTCTTCTCGACGTTTACTGTCAGACCCACTTTGGCAGACTCCTTTTCAATTTGTTCAAAGGTGGCTGTTACCGCTCGCAATGTTCGACCCATTATATCGATGTCATCGGGGTAGGCGAGTAACATGTGTTGTTTGGTGTTCAGAGTGCCATTTCTGTTCACCTTTGCGTCTCGTATGACCGTTTCCAGTAAGATGTTAAAAAGATCACACGACAAACTGTCACCTTGTCTGAATAATCCACGTTCGGTTTTGAAGGGCTCCGATAGGTCCTTTCCTACTTTAACTGCTGACCTTGTGTCACTTAAAGTTATCCTGCATAGCCGTATTAATTTTGCAGGAATGCCGAACGAAGACATGGCTTTAAACACCTCTGAGCGGATAGGGCTGTCGAATGCGGCTTTATAGTCGACAAATAGGTGGTATGTGTCGATGTGTTTTTCGTGGGTCTTTTCCAGGATTTGGCGCAGAGTGAAAATCTGGTCAATGGTGGATTTGCCAGGTCTAAAGCCGCATTGGTATGGTCCGATGATGTCATTGACCATTGGCTTCAATCGTTCACACAGCACACTGGATAGCACTTTATATGCAATGGGAACTCAATGCAAAATATTCTGTCATTATCTTTCATTCTCATGATTTTCAGTAATACGGAGTGATTTGAAAGGACATTGCAATATTTTGGCAAAATTGGCAATATTGCTCATATATATATATATATATGGGACGTTACAAAATTACGCAACGTGTATATGATTTTTATGCGCATCAAATTTCAGTAATATCCTAAAATATTGTGCCAATCGGCAAATTTTGGGTCTTTGGTGTACCATTTACTTAAAAATATATGGAAGCTATATCCAAATCTGATTTTACCCAATTTCAGTAAATGAAAATTTCATATGATTGGGATCATAAATGCACCCTATACCTTGTTTATAATTTAACATAGACAGACGGACGGATATGCATAAGTCGATTCAGAAAGTAATTCTATGCAACAAAACGAACGATAGCTTTCGAAAAACATGATTTTCATTCGAAATAGAAAAAAAGGCTGTAAATGAAAAACAATTTTTGCTTTCAATTGAAAATGGGTGTGATTTCGATTCGTTTAGTGTATATCTCATGAAAGTGATTACCGTGACTTCTTGATTCGCAAGATTTTATTATATGCATGCCCCATTTAAGTGACGTTGAATCCTGCGTGATTCTAGTTTTTTTTAACTTCCCGAATCCCACGAGCTCAGCCATTCTCAAATGCATGCAATAAAACGGCAGATATAGGAACTATGAAAGTAGGAAAATCTGCAAAATTGTATTTAGACAATTCTCGGTATATAAAAAATTTGAATATATTTAATTTGTATTTGATATACAAATTTTCTCATTACAGTGTTCGTATAAATACTCCTCCGAAACGGCTTGACCGATTTTGGTAACATTTTGTATTTGGTAACATTTTGTAATCTGTAGGTATAAAAATAGTTTGTAAGCTATTTGTTATCGCCAAAAGTGGATGAGGTCGGGGGCCTCCTACACATCTCTAGTTTAAAAACCCTCTAATTTGGATACGGCTAAACCTATCGGTGGAACAGCCAGATCAGATAAACTAATTAATTTTTTTATTCCCAGTTATCATATAATAATACACCATTTTAAAAATTTTGAATTTTAGAATGCAATCGCGACCGCCTGAAAGCTTATGATGGTAGAAGAAAAACATAGGTTTACGTTTTTCGAATTGCGGTGGATTTCAAAATAATACGTATAAGATTGTTTTTCTGCTTGAACATTGCTATATTTTCAAAACATGAATCAAACTTACAAAACACAAATGGGAGACACCACGAACCTCAAAATACTGTTGCCATATGACATCATATCTATGTGAACAATAATGGGAAAACTACCAACATTCGCCTCTCATTGGTGTTTCGACACAACAACAGTGTCAGTTAACTACATCGATTCTAAGGCACAACATTGTTTGTTCTGCTAGTATTAACATAACATTAACATTCGCCTCTCATTGGTGTTTCGACACAACAACAGTGTCAGTTAACTACATCGATTCTAAGGCACAACATTGTTTGTTCTGCTAGTATTAAGAGACTAACGGTTACACCATTACATCCAATAAAATACACATGGACTACATAGTAAGTAAAATCGAATATTATATAAATATAATTTGAAATGGTGTTATACTTTAATAATAGACTACTTACAAATAATTATATCAAATAATATTTCAATATTTTTTATATTACATACTTTGCAATGAGTCATCAACTACGTTTTCTTTTTTCATATGGTACAGCCGACACCAACCGTAGTGGCCGCCAACCCCTTCGATGCGGGAGCCGACAGCCAAGCTTTGCGTGCTGCAATGAAGGGTATGGGCACGGATGAACAGGAAATTATTGACATTCTTACTGCACGCAATAATGTTCAAATGCAACAAATCAAAGCGAGATATGAAGAAGATTTTGATAGGGATTTAATCGATGACTTGAAGAGCGAACTGGGTGGAGCATTTGAAGACGTTGTGGTAGCTCTCATGACACCATCCACTGAGTACTTATGTAAACAGTTGCATGAGTGCATGGCAGGAATAGGAACCGATGAAGAAACTCTCGTCGAAATTCTGTGTTCCAAATCTAATGAGGAAATACATGAAATTGCGACAGTATACGAGACTATGTATGATCGACCGCTAGCTGAGCATATGTGCGGAGAAACTTCAGGTCATTTCAGGCGGCTTTTAACCCTCATCGTGACAGGCGTTCGTGATGCCAAAGGAATAGTTGATGTCGATATGGCAAAAGAACAAGCCGCAGAGCTGTATGCAGCAGGAGAAGGGAAATTGGGGACCGATGAAGAAGTATTTAATCGTATAATGTCTCACGCCAGTTTTGATCAATTACGTTTAGTTTTTGAGGAATATAAGCATTTAACAGGTCTAACAATAGAGCAAGCAATTAAGCATGAAATGGAGGATGATCTACATGATGCCATGATGGCTATTGGTATGTTTGATGCCTTTGATATATTGAAATAATTAATTACTAATTGTTTGTTAGTCGAATGTGTACAGTCACCAGCTGCATTCTTCGCAAATAGACTTTATAAAGCAATGGATGGCGCTGGAACAGATGATAGTCCTTTAATACGCATAATCGTCTCTCGTTCTGAGATTGATTTGGATACAATAAAACGGGAGTTTGAACGAATTTACAACAGGACTTTACACAGTGTCATTACGGTAAGTTGCATCTACAATGTATTTATATAAAATAACATAACAATTCATGACCAAAATTTTGTAACAAATATGACTTCATCCTCATGTACAACATATACCTTAATAGCGGACGGTGAAACTATACATATGCCAAGTTGTCGATTAATAGCTTTGTCAGGTTATTTTTACTGCAAATTTTAATTAATATGTTTTATTCTGAGATTGATGCAATTATTCCCTTGTAAGAAAAAAAAAACAAAACAATAAACACTCATAATCCAGCAAAAATCACGTAATTTCAATAAAAGTAAATTGAATGAATTGTGAATTAATTGACGATTATGGCCAAAGAGCCATGATCGCCTTTGGCTAGACTAGGATCTTATTAATTTCAATTAAAATGCTTAAAATGTATTTTTTAACTCATTAAAGAATAAAATTCCCAAAATAGAAAATATTTTTGACATGGGTCAAAAAAATAAAAAAGCAGTATAAAGTTCATAGCTTTCTAAAAGAAATTTTCCCAGTAACACACCGTCATATTTTCTATCTCAGTTCGCTCTTTTAAGTAAAATTTGGTAAAGATTGTTACCAAATATGGACATACAGACATACCTAATGGGGTGGTCTTATAAAGGGCCCCACACACTATAGGGCATGCATGAAAGCATTTGAAGTAGTACTAGTATTTTTGTGTCAGTTTGGGAATGTATGTGTGTGAATTTCATGCAGTATGAAAATCAAAATAGTTTTGATTTTGAAAACGAACCCCTTTCAATCCGATGAACTTATGGCCCCCACACACAGTATAGTGTGTGGGGCCATAAGACTATATACATATATAATATACATTATGGCACAAAAATAGGACATATAGTTTTAATTAGGAACTAATCGAAACTGAAATTAAATAAAAAACACATACAGGCCGTTTTAGGTTAATTTTTTGTTTAACTAATACCTACGATAAATTTATATACATAAATTATATGTATTTGTAGAAGTTTGTTATCATATCTGAGATTATTTAGACCTTATAGCCAATTTCATTATTTTGAAATGCAGAAGATTTGTTGTTACGAAACAAATCATTATTACCTAAATAAACCCATTATGACTTATAAAAATCAAATATGACTTAAATAATATATTATTAGCGAACATTTATAGTTGATCTATGCCTATTTTATTGACAGAAAATCGAATTGAAGTATCGAAACAAATCTATTTACAATACGTCTTTGATTAAAACAAATTATATTTTAATTGGCTACACCACATTACCCATTTTACATTTGGTCTATATTTAATGTGAATATTATTTCATATATGTTCATATTTTATGATGACTACAAATGATATGCAGAATGTAAGTACAGACTTTTAATATACCAAGGTATATTAAATAAGGTGCATATTATTATCTGTTCATTTTTTTGTAAAATATTTATCGTAAGTTTCATCTTAAACGAGACATGAAAGAACGTAAGGTCATATTGCTTAATTTAGCCATTCGGTTAAATTGTAACACATATCGGTTCAAAAGAAAAATTTAACCACTATTTTGTGTTTGAACATTGTGCAGCAATGTTCATTAAGGTTATACAGTAAGGTCAGCTGATGGCTTCATTGTCCTTTCAAATGAATGAATATGACATTTTATGCCAACGTTACTGATGGGGTAAAAATATATAAATGTTGTCTAATACAGATAATTTATTTTCTCAGCATTAATAATAAAGGCTCGAACCTACTTCAATGCATTGCGTAAAAAAATACCCAGCTTCTCGCCATTATGAGAGTTGTTAAAGGTCCGTATTACCCAAATACACAAGGACATGGGTGTTAATTGCATACGGCGAGAATGGATAAAAACATTTTTGTAATATTACTTTTATAGAAACACACATTTTTCAATGACTGGAATTCAATTTTCAAAAAAAAAAAAAAATGAAATACTCATTGTCAGTGTTGAAAATGTACAACATTGTCTATTGATACGCAATGTATATTTGGTAACATTCATTGAAATACATGATTTAAACTTTTGAGGTGATTAAAATCGTACGCATACAATGTGCTCACCCAAAAATTTAGACACAGGCCTACAAATTATATTTTTAGTAGAGTTCAAAGTAACGAAAATTTTGATATCAGCTACCCTCACTGGATAACCTAATATATAACCATAATATTGTTATTTATCATGCATCCACTTTATATTAATATACCTTGACTATAAATATACCTTGACTTATACTAAAGATTTATATATAGTACTGAATAATAATTGAATTCTAATATAAGATTAATTTTATTACAGAATGAGACTTCTGGCGACTATACAAAGATATTGACAGCTTTAATTGGCGGAGCCTAACGGAATTTTCCCGGTATTGTTTATCGAAAATAAACAAACTGTTGTATATTGTTCAATAAATTTTACATTTTTTCATATGTTGGTTAGAATAGAAAACGCCGCCCGAGAACAATACTGGCAAGATGTTGCCAACAAGAAAATAAATAATAATAAAATAAACCTAAAATATTTAATGAAAACGTGCAATTAAATTTAGAATGATGAATATTGCTGTTGTTGACCTGGCAATTTTTAATACTTTTGGTCATCAAAGACAAATGTTTTAGTTTAGATTTAATTTTCCGATACTTCGATTGTCATTGGTAATGATCTTCATGGATCTATTTATAAAAATACAATTCTTACAATATATATACTAGCATAGCCCCGCTACGACGTTAGCGGATCTTTATATAGTTAAAAGAAATAAACATTAGTTTACCTACACAATATGCTTGTAAGTATAAATTTGAAACATTTCGATTAATGATAGGTCCTATATCTTAAATTTTTTAAGAAAATCTCAGATCTTACTCCGCATTTCTTTCGAACAAAAACGTTGATGCTTCTATCCTACTAAATCGAGTACAACTTACTTATATTTGTATTTTCTGAAAGTGTACTATTCTCTCGATCCTCCCGATGAACCAATGTAAATAGTACAATAATACGTTTTTAAACTTCGATCATTTAATACTAATGGTAAAATATGTAGTACGTTTTAGTACTTATGTACCCTTATATCACGAATTTGTAATAAAATATTTTGCACACCTCATCATTTATTATATAGAGACCTGCCTGTATAGAGAAGATTTCTATTAAAATTGCAGAATTTTAGTATATTTGGTGCGTTATATGTTAGAAAATCCTCATGTGCAAAAATGTCGGTATTTTTTGTATATCCTCGACATAAAGATCCCACCCATTATTCATTACATCGGAAGTCGCTGCAGTATACTATATTTCCAGTGTTGTTGGAAACATCACTGGAAATATATATCAGTACTGTTATGATAGAAATTTTAGAGACATTTGCGTTTAAAGTTGACAACAATATAGTACTTGTGTTGTTCAGCGACTTGTTTGCATAGTTTCACTTATTTGGATATGAAGTCTCGTCCAATTTTCACTACGTCGGAAGTTTAAACCAAAATTCACATAATCATGCGCTATAACAAAGATTTCATGTAACTGTCAGTAATTTTTCGAAATAGGAACGTTTGATTCGTCATAGTCAAAGATAAATACTAAAATTCGGATATCTGTCTCTAACCTTTCCTTTTTATTACTTGTTAGTACAAATTTTGAAAAAAATACCTTTTTGAATTTGTTATAGCTTAATATACAGTAGCGTGCAAAACCGATCACATGTTTTGCAGATTTGGCAGTTAAGCTCTGTAACAATATTTAAAGTCAATCAAATTAAATGAAACTTATGTTATATTTCATTTAATTCATTATAATAATATTAAAACTGAAATCAACTTAAAATGTATACATATTCGGGATAATTTATTATAAACTTAAGAGGAACTCCATGTGCTCAGTTTTGCATGTTTCGCATATAATTGTTGTTTCTTAAGGAGCTCTCTTGTATTTTCCAAAGCGTTTTTTCAAAATGGACCACAAATTCTCAATTGGATTGAGATCGGGTGATTGTGCGGGCCACTCCATAAGCTTAAATGTTTGTTGGGAAAACCACTCTTTTACTATTTTGGCGGTGTGTTTCGGGTCTCCATCCTGTTGGAAAATGACTTGCTCCTCCGTGTATGGACTAGATTGTACGAAGTCTGGTAAATTTGACTTCAAAATATCCAGGTAGTCCTCCTTCTTCATTATCCCACTTATTTTAACAATTGGTCCAATATTATGCCACGTAAAACAGCCCCACACCATCGAACTACCTCCACCATGTTTCACGTGATGCCTTTGGATGGTTTCTTTGGGATGACGCCAGTAGTAACTTATTCCGTCTGATTGAAATCGGTTTATTTTTACTTCGTCCGACCAATCGCCTCGCCTCCAATCCTCAACACTCCAATTCGCATGTTTCTTGCGGAATGCTAAATGAGCTTTAACATTTTTAGCGGACAAAGCCGATTTCTTCTTCTTTACTGCTGATAGCAATCCAATTCTATGCAACGCTCTACGGGCGGTCCACTCGCTTACATTCTTATTTAATGCATCTGCAGCTTGTTTAAGTGTTAAAGAACTATCTTTTCTCATTTCTCGTTCCATTAAGCGGGCATCCGCGTCAGAAAGTTGTCTCGGTCGACCTCCAACATTTGGCGCTCGCACAATATTTTTTTCTTTTCTGGACTTTAACTACAGTGCTTTGACCAATATTCAATTTTTCGGCTATTTCTCTGGTGGAATGCCCTTTTTCCGTTAAAACCAAAACACTATTTTCTAGTTCTATGCTAAGTTTTTCATTTTTTATTAAATGATAATTTTATTAAATCGATCACTTTCAACACGGGTTAAGAACTAATATCAAAGTAAAATACCAAACTAATATAAAGAGTAAATACGAAGGAGAGATCAACAAAAGCAAGAGAGACCAATAACGGTATATATTTGTTTACATTTCTACATTAACTTTCTGCTTTTTGAATAAATGCGAAACGTGCAAAACTGAACATATGTGATGTCTCTCATGTTTATTACATAGTATCCTGCACAACCTGGTTATACTAAATAATCTTGTATGCCATTTGTTTTGTTTCTAGTAATGAGTCAACAAAATTTCATTTCATTTAATTGCGTACAAATATTTTTACAGAGCTTAATATCCAAAATCGCAGAAGGTGTGATCGGTTTTGCACGTTACTGTACATACGAAATTTCAGGACTACTACTCGTTCTGTCGTATACAATATTTAGTACTTTAAATACAAATGTCAAATAAAATTGCGAATTTCTGGAAATTATTTATTTATAACGGTTTGTATAGTTCCAGATAAGTATTTAATGACAGGTTACTTTCCTTATCCGTTCTACCGTACACAATATTATATGTGTTTTTTCCAATATATAAGTGTTGGAAATTGTTGTACTCTATAGGTTTGTTCCCGTACTTTTTGATAGTAAAGCTAGTAAAAGAGCGAACTATCAAAAATTACTCTCACATACAAGATTTGCGCAAAAAGTAAAGGAACGAAAAATAGTTAAAACATGAAGAAACGTCAAAATCAAAAATTTCATTTGTTAAGGACAAAAAAAAAAAGACTACAGAAACCTAATGCACAAAAAAACAAAAAGTTAAACGGCGTCCATTGCGTGATTTTGATAATATAAATATTTTTTTTTATTTGTATAATTTAGAGGAAAGCCTTATCGAATATTTGGAAGTGGAGTTTCCGACGACTCCGAGCCCGGAAAGGCTTACATGGCTGGACGCTCCCATAATGTTAATGCTATTGAAATTGGTAGATATTTTGCGAACTAGAACAACAAGATATGGAACAAGTCAAGTTTAGGGGCTCCATTCGGATCATTTTGAAATGATTACCGTAAGTAGCCCTCCTTGTGCGGATTACAGTGATATACATTTCCCGAGATATTGGCCTTGGAATTTCGGAACATATTTTGTTTAAAACAACCCTTTTTCTATTGCCACCAAAGCAATAAGGGTATTATTAAAAGTTTATACCTGGTATTTTTAGAGAACTTAAGAATAAAACATTCACATATGGACAGGCTCATACATGGCTACGCAATATATTCTTCATCTAGTTATATAACACAAACCATAACCTTTAAAATGATACGGCTAATTAAAACAACATACTCTCCGAACTTTCAAGGCCCATATCTCGGGAAGTATGCATTTCTCCCCATATCACTGTAATCAGTTCACCGAGGACTACTTACTGTAAAAATGTCAAAGCGATCCAAGTGGAGCCCCTAAACTTACACAAAGATATTTTGGATATTTTGATACGATTGACCAACCCAAGTCTTCATTCTATAGTATCTTCATCTGAATCTTCTGTCAGCCATTCATCTTCATTCAAAAGAGAATAAAAAAACTGTTTGTCCATTTTTAAATTTCTTATTTGCTTTTTTTATTTTTTTATTTAGCAAATGTGTGTGCGTTGAAGCCCTAACTTTCATATGCTTTATTTCGGACTGTATATCTCTGGCAATCAAATGTCAAATTCATAATTTACTACATTTACTATTTCGTGCTAGGCCAAATTGGTCTTGCAGAAAATAGGAGAAGAGAACGCCATTTTGGTTTTAACTCTCTTAAATTTAACTTCAATTTTTCCTACTTTTCGGCGTAAGGAAACGCTTTTCTAGCAACAATTGCAAAACTAGTACAATATAGTACTATATTGCAGGTTTGGGAACACAGCTTATATTTATATTTATATTTTTAGTTTTTATCATTTACTGTGGTAAACTATTTAATTTTACCGAATATATTTATTTTTCCCATTGAATTTTATTTTTTTAGCACTTTTTATCACCACATTACTACTAATTTCTAAAAATATTTTATGCATAGTATTCTATTTGTGATAGTTAAAGTTATATACGAAGTTTCACATTTCTATTACTATCGGTACATTTTAGTACTAATTGCAAAAGATATGTTTGCCCACCATTCTATTTGTAATAGCTTAAGTTACCTATCCAATTTCAGATATATTTTCCTACCTGTTCCATCGTAGTATAATATTTAGTACATTTTAGTACCTCTAGTACTAATTACCTTTAGTACTAATTTGTCCACACATTCCGATTCGCTTATAATGGACAAAGCTGTATACCAAATTTCAGAGTTATATTTCCAACCGTTCCGGCGTAATGCAGTTTTAGTACTTTTTAGTACTAATTTCCAGCAAATATTTTTGCACGTCGTTCTTGCTTTAATAGCTCAAGCTACATACAAAGTTTCAGATATGTCTGGGCGTTGATGATCAGTCAGTCACTTATAACGCAACTCTTTTATATATATAGATAATCGGCTGTACTGATTTTGGTGATTCGTTAGAATGTTATTTGATATG